TAGCACTCGTAGCGCTTCCAGCGTACGCCAGCGGCAGTGCCGGGGAGAGGATGCATATCGATCTAGCGTTCCCAGCGTCACCAGCGTAACGCTAGCGTACGCTAGCGTTACGCCCAGGGTACAGCATGGGGATGTGTCAAATGGCGGTGTGGGTACGACCCCCCCCCCTCGAAGAGGGTCCAGATACGACCCCCCCCCCTCCTGCTCTAACTGACAACCAGATGCATGTTCACCACAAATGGCTTCCTGAAATGGAATCTGGATTCTCGAAAGGCGCACTCTGCTCTAAAATACAGGAAATAAAAGGCTGTTTCAGCCTCATGCAATATGAGGCTGAACAACAGCCTCGCATTACCTACAATTTTGTCTTAGGATTCAAAATAAAACTCGATAACTATGTATGACATGCAACTTGTAACAAGAAACACAATTGAAATAGCGGCTAATGGTGATCATTGATAGGCTGAATTGGTGAAAAAATAGCCCCAAGGTGAGCGTGTCAGGGCCCAGATGTGCATTCAATGAATGGTGACGGGGAAAATAATGAAAACATGCACGACACAACAAAGCGAAACATGGAAAATACAAAAAATGCAGAGCTAAATGAAAAAAGGATAACCAGGCCGGCAGTAAATCGTTCCATACTTGGCTATTATCGATCAGGCTGCAGGGCGCAAGGCTGCGACCGCTTTCTTTGGAAAAACGTCATTGGAGCGCGGTTGTTGGACTTGCCAACGTCCTGGGGTCTGTTCGGGGGGTTATATCTTTTTTAGGTGCGGAGCTTTTGAGGAATGGTGAGCAGCATGCAACGGCAAAGTTTCTACTATTGTGTATTCTACCTAGCTGCAAACTGAACAATCCCCCGTTGGTGAAATATTCCGGATGGGTCACGGTTCGGCCAGGGGTAAATCGCGAGCTGGTTTCCATGATTCACACAAGGACTGCTTCGTTCAAACGCAATTTCATCAGGACTGAAGTCGTCTTGAAACCCCTCCATCTTTTCTCTTTCCAATAAGCTTTACAGTTTTTCTGAAGACCCACTAGTTCAGGAGATATTTTAGATGGGTCACAGATGCGCCACCCTCTGACCCACCCGAAAAATTGACTCCTTATGTGCCATTGTGAGGATACACCTTCGGAAACTTCAGTGTGCCTTCAAAACACATATTTCCCTTCAAATGAGTGAAAGAGAAGCTCGGCTATCTCTGATCGATTTGGTCCGTGCGCCGTGCATTAGGCTCCTACGCAAAGGTGGTGGAAAGGTGAAATTCTGATTTCAGGAATCTCCAAGTTCTCCCTTCTTGTAACCTCGGCATGATGTCGAATGTTTAGTTATTTCTGCCAAACGAGGTTATTAGATAGAACCTTTTATTGGCCCGACGTTTCGACCTTCTCGTCTTCTTCAGAGGATTTCTTACTTGCACACACCAACAGACAAACTTAGCGGATTATATATAGTAGGATTGGGACACGTCACAAGTTCCTCGCTCCATTACCACACCTTCTCGAGAGGCAATATGGCTGCATTCTGTGGGACAGCAAACTTTAATTTTCCAAAGGCACGTGCGAAACGGGAACTGAGCTATCTCTTTGAAAACCTCCCCACACAAAAATTATTTTTATTACAATATATAGTTTCAAAAAATCATTAAGAAGTTAACGAAGAACACAAGAGACAAAATGAGAAATAATAATTAGGATAAGTAAGTAAAGAGCAAGTTAAAAATTGATCAAGTTTAACTAAATAATACAATTTCAAAGTATAAACGATATACTGAACAATTACTACCTTTTACCACCCCAAAACATGGGAGAGCTCCATCTTCCAGGTATGGTTGGCAGTGTCAGGAACGACGAAGGCCGACGAAGGGTAGCACTGCCATTTCTGACAATAGCTGCCGCATAAACTCCTGAGGGGTTGGAGTTACAGAAACATTCGTGGGACTATTCATCGCCTCGAGTTAACCTTCACTAAAACTCTCGCTTCTCCCCAATGTTTCCTGAAAAATCTTCTGAAAAGTCACCTCATAGAATAGAAAAAGTTCGCCTCTAAAGCTCTCCCGCTTCAAACAAGAAGTCTCGCGTTTCCTCAAGAAGTTCAGCTAGTTGTGCTCACAGACTCCTCCTCTCATTGCACTGGTTCCTTTCACTTTTCTTCCTGGTCATTTTTTTATTATTTGAAGTTTTACCTACCTTCCTAGCACTGCCCCTCTCCTTAATTGTTACTATTTCTATTGTTTTCAAAGATGCATATGATCTGATTTGTTATGTTTGGTTTGATGTTTCATGTTGGTTCAACATGCTCCTAGCGGGCATGTAATAAATAAATAAACAAATAAAATAAAGTCGCGCAGTGCGACAGTTGTTGACGGTCCACTGTGTCGCGTTCAAACTGCCATTCATGGCGACGACGATGTTAGCGGGTGGACTCATGTATTCCTGAAAAGTCCAGTTACATCTACATACATTTTGACTGCAGATCGGGTAACAGCACCGCTCTACAATCAATCAAACAATCCACGTGTTCTTACGCTGTTATTTCAGCAAGTCCAAAACAGGAGAAGCTCCGCTACATTTGGCAGCGCAAAATGGTCACGTCAGGGTTGTAAACGTTCTGGTACAGGACCATGGGGCCAGTCTCGAGGCAATCACTCTCGACAACCAGGTGCGGCTCATATAGTAAATGATCACTTTAGATCAAGTGTTTGCTCAGTATTCTTAAGACGGCGTTACATTTTGCGGCTAAGTACGGTCAGCTTGTGGTTAGTCAAACGCTGCTCGCCTTGGGAGCCAATCCCAACGCCCGTGACGATAAAGGACAAACGCCACTGCACTTGGCGGCTGAGGTTAGCTTCTTAAATGAATATTTGTGGTCATCGGGTCAGCTAAGGAGTAAAAAAACGAATTTGTGATCATTACGTGTTATTTCTTGGTGTGCTATATCTTTTGGAAAGCAGTGCGCCAATAAAGAAGACACAGTGGTTACAAGTCTCCGCCCAAGCGTCATTGCGGAATCAATGTTTGACCCTATAAGATTATATCGCTGAAAAGAAAAATGGAGCTGATACGATTATCAGTGTACTAGAACCACTTAGATTACTTTGATCTAGAACGATTATCCGGACGTAGTGAAGTTGTTTCTGAAGATGAAGCAGAACAATCGTGGAGTGCTGACTGCTATCGATCATAATGGATTCACATGTGCACATATCGCTGCTATGAAGGTAATTTCAATGCGAAGAGTGCTCTCCGATATAGAGCAGTATCCACACAACTTTAGGGATCACTGGCTGTCGTGAAGGAGCTGATGATGATCGATAAGGCTATGGTTATTCAAGCGAAAACAAAAACTCTGGAGGTGAGATCTTTTCTTCTTCTCGTCATGGAGATACTGGGAAGTGGTCGTTACTCTAATTTCTAATCCCTCCCCTCGCCCCATCCTGCCGCTGTCTTTGGCAGGAACACACTCGACCCTAACGTAGAGCTGTTTTCTACATTCTCTCTAACTCATTTAGGCTACAGTTTCCCCGAAAACCAGGCCTTTTGGAGACAGCGGGCGATAACGCCATTGCTATACTGGAGAGAATAGAGGTGTTTATTTCTACCCATTTTCTTATTAGTGCAGACCCCTCTTGAGAAGCCAAATGCGGTAGCCCTCCTCAGCGGCTCAGATACGACCTCAGTAGTCGCTCTGAGCTCTTCAGTCACAGTGTACTCTGACTATAGTACCCAATTCGACCCTGGAAAAGCACTCTTCGAAGCGTAATGAGATACTCAAGATAAGTGAGAAAAAGGAGCGGGCAGTGTGTGCAATGTAAATAGGCCGGGAGATTCTGCTACGTGGTCAACCTTTATTGACGAATATTGCTGTACTAAAAAGAACCAGGCTGTTCACAATAATAAAACAATCTCGCGATCAAAGGCAGCTGGCATGGTACGATATGGAACAATAAGTTCCTAAGACGGTAGGATTAATACGCTTAGTGGGACGAAATTCCACGCCCCCTAAGCAGGCGCTGCGTAGCGCCTTTTCCAAGGAAAGCACCTCTATAAGGCACTATCAAGCTGCAACATAACAATCACCGCGCCCGCACGCCCACAAATGGACGACGTACCTGATGCTCGTATTTCGATTTGCGAAGTAAAATATGAAGCGAAGGGATTGACATGAAGCGGCCGCGGTGCTGCATGGATATATGAGTACATATTTGCATATCTACCGTCGCGGTCATTGGCACGTTACCAACGGGGAACTCGTGCAAAGTTACTTCCTGAGTCGTGTAAAGCAAAGGCTTTTATTGCAGGTTTCCCGCCACTTCACTTCGCTTTTTCGCCATTTTCCCACCATATAGCACATTTTAAACCGAGTACCAAATTATCGTGCCATATGCTTTTAATTGATGAGACTGATGCAGAGGCAACGGTAGCGCCCAACCGAGCCCGATGTATACCAATAGAAGAGCCAGATCACTTAGGTCCTTCTCCATTTCCACGCTCATCTGATTATCGCGGAATGTGTTCTAATACTCTATTAAGGGGCTACGACTTAATCCCCATCTGACGATACCTCATTGTTTGGAACGTCAATCTTCACATAAGCTCCATTTTCATCGAATAGAAAAATCAAAGTGGAGTCTCAGTAGAATCCTTGATAAACGAATTCAAAGGAACGGTCCGCGATGACCTATGAAAATGCAAAAGGTGGTGTAGGAGGTTAGCGCGGTCCGCGGCGCCAGTTTTGAGGCGGAAAGTTGTAAGGTAAAGGAGTTATGACGCAAAGTTGACTCAGTGTAACATCCCTTTTTCCAGTGACTCCTTCTTGTGGAGTCATAGTGTCTATCAGAAATAATGAACCGACTGGATGCGATTCAACACGCGGTCTTTCGGCCTTTTACCCGTACAACTGTCTGAGACTGGAATGGTCTTATTAGGGGCGTTTCCGACGTTCCCTTTGGCATTTTCTCTTGACATAGAGTCGCTTGACAAGTTGTCTTCCTTATTTCAACACCATTAAATAAATTTCTCATCACACCCCTTTGACCGTGCCTTTAATATTTAACATTATTCTCTAGTTCACCTTTTCCTTTAGGCTACCACACTGCACATGGCCGCCGCGGGAGGACATACGAACATCGTCAAAATCCTACTGGAAAATGGAGCCAGCGCTGAGGACGAAAATGCTGTGAGTTTTGCCTTCTGAGCTGTCACGCTAACGCGGGGCTGAGTGAGCAGCAATTTTAGCACGGAATGACTGCATTACACTTGGGAGCAAAAAACGGATTTGTCTCTATACTCGAGGCTTTTGATAAGTCGTTGTGGAGACGGTGCTCGAAAAAGGTACGCTTACTCCTTCCGCAATTATTTTGATATCTTCAGCAACTAATAGCAGTTACCTAGTAGTGCTAGTTACGTATAGACTGGTTTGAACGCTCTGCATATTGCCGCCTACTACGGGAACTCGGATTTCGTCAACGAGATGTTGAAGAGCGTGCCAGCATCAATCCGTTCTGAACCACCGATCTACAACCATCATGTCGTGAAAGAATTCGCCACTGAGGTATCAAACGTTAATTTCAACTTGCTGAGAGATTTGCTGATGTGATGACTTTAGTATGGCTTCACACCACTGCATTTGGCAGCTCAATCTGGCCACGATTCGCTCGTACGAATGTTGCTCAATCAAGGTGTGCAGGTGGACGCGACAAGCACCACCATGGTTGGTTCATCGATTCTCTTTTTTTTCACTGGTATCATGCCACCTCGCCACGGTTCATTTCTATAAGCATAAATTCATTCAAGAAAGAAAAGAGAAATAGGCCGGTCTATCATGGGAAATATTTATGGACAATAGGATTCCGACAGCAATCATCATGACTTTTTTGCGGCCTTTTATTCCCTTTGCTTTGGAAACATATGTGGAGTTTAATCCCACCTCCCTCTCTTCTTGAAACGAAAGAAACACTCGCAATGAAGTCCTAGTGGACGGAAGAGGCATGACAGTGAGAAACTGAAGAAACATCGTAATGAACAGAAAGTTCCTCTCCGTGGAGCCCAACTTTCACCAAGTTTTTGTTTTCACTTCAGTTATCAATTTTCATTAAGTATTTGCAATTTTGCACTTGGCCAAGCTCATCAGTCGGTCCCCCCTGACTTCCGATTCCGATTATTGTTGCACTGTTCTTGTTCATTTCAGAATGTGATCCCATTGCATCTGGCCGCTCAACAAGGTCACATCGCAGTTGTCGGCATGCTCCTGTCTCGGTCCACTCAACAGCAGCACGCTAAAGTGAGCGAGCATCTGTAACTTCAGAAAGTCCTGCCCAATGAATGTACATTAAATGCCTTCAGGATTGGCGCGGAAGAACTCCGCTTCACCTTGCAGCTATGAATGGACACTACGAGATGGTATCACTTCTTATTGCCCAAGGGTCGAACATTAATGTTATGGACCAGGTTTGTCATAATTTTGAAGTGGCCTTTTTTGAGAGAGGGCGATGGATGCAACAGTTGTGCTTAAGAACGGCTGGACTGGAATGCACTTCGCCACAAAAGCTGGTCATTTAAACGTCATAAAACTCTTCGTGAAGAGTTCAGCCGACGAGTTAGCAGAAACAAAAGAAGGAAAGGTGAGTCGGAACCTCTAATGAACCCATTTTTCAGTAACCTGACGGTATGTAGAATCTTTTACCCTCACCCGATGGACAAATCGCAAATAGTGCTTCACTTCGCCGCTCGAAAATGTGTGATCAGGGCACCACTGGCTTGCAACTTAACTCTCAGCGCGCCTTCTCAGTCTGGCACCATTCACAGTATACAAGGAAGGTGGGGGGGGGGGAAGTTTGGCCGAGTCACATATCAGTAAAGTTTTCGCAGCCCAGACAGAAGACGTGGATACGAGTACCAGGGCGGAAGATACCCAAGATGTTCCTCGATAAGCAGGAGCAGGCTCTCGTCCATCACCTTCATGTACACCAAAATATGAAGCCATCTCCAATCGCAGCCGGACTGGAGAAGGCCTATGGAATTCACGTCACCTCCAAACAGCTGCGAAACTTCTTGTATGGAGTCACCCATGGACAGCTACCTGGAGACCAGCACTCTGGAAGACCTCCAACATCGAGCAGCTCCGACAACGTCGCTACGGTCCAGGATATCATCTTCACCGCAGTCGCCAAGGAGCGGATGGTATGGACCGAAGGGCCTGGAATGGAAGACCGATATTTTCTTCGTGGACCCCGGACTGAAGTGAACGCTGACTGATTACATCGAACAGCTCGAGGAGAATATCCTGCCTTCATGTCGTTGCCTGTGCCTTGGAATTCGTTCTGCTACAGGATTGTGTGCAGCACAAATCGAAAAACTCTCGTTCACTTGGTATCGAAGGGCGTTGAGTACCTGAAGGAAGATAGGAATATCCAAGTGTGTCACCTGACCTAAACTCCCTCGATTACCGGGTTCGGCGGAGCTCAACAGGGTGGTCTACAGTGGCGGAGAAATCAACGACCTCGCTGAACTCAGGCACCGAATCACGGTCGCGTGGCAGAATCTCTCGATGGCTTCGTCCAGAAGGCTGCGGCGGATTTTCATGATCTGTGCAATGCGTTGTTGAATTTGATGGTGAAAATGTCCAATCTTTGAAAAGTGTAGCTTATATCGCCTCGGAAGTCCAGGAAGAAAGTGCCTTTTTTCTGGGCCCCCTGTATAGCTGTCCACCTTCATTGCCCTCTAGCCGTACCCTACCCTTCATTGTCCCCTACACTTGTGACGTTCAAGACGAATTTCCCTCCACTTTTCTTTGTTGGTAAGTCAACTAGTAATTACAAACTGATATATGAACCCTGCCAGCCACGTTGCAGTGGGATGTAGCTTAGAAGACCCTGCTTGAGAACATGTTTGAGATTCTCCTGCGTGTTGTTGAATGAGAATGTACTTCGATGGGCCTTTTCTCTTAAGGTACCATTGTGCTTCGCAGCAGCTCACAACCATATCGAATGTCTTCGGTTTCTTCTGAAGCAAAAGCACGACACCCATCAGCTCATGGAAGATCGCCGATTCATATTCGATTTGATGGTCTGAGCACTTAGTTGTATTTCTTGATCATCTTACAGTCAACACCTTCTTCAGGTCTGTGGCAAAGGCAACGACAACGAGCCACTTCAAGAGTTCATTTTGCAGAGCCCAGCTCCGATAGACACTGCTGTGAAATTGTCAGCTCTATACAGGTAGGCATCAAACTCTTTTAGCTGTTTTCCATGGAATCCTTTTTCGACTTTTATAGGGATATGTCTGAGAAAGAAAAAGAACGAGCAAAAGATCTCTCGAACGTGGCTGTGTTCTCTGAGAACATGGCTGTGGAACTTCTTGGCATTACCGCCAGTGAGTACAACGCGGCTATCCTGCTCAAAGCTAAGGACAATCGAGGACGACCTTTGCTCGATGTTCTCATTGAAAACGAACAGGTACTCATTAAAGAAGCCCATATGAGGAGCAATTAGGGAAAATTATTCAGTGTATTGATAGCTCAGGAGAAGATCCCTTGCAAGAGTCATCTCAAAATACAGCTTAGTAAAAGCTGTACTGTAGGGTACCACAATCAGTGAGTCCTTTATCACGTCACTCATCAAAGAACATTCTGATTTCAGAAGGAAGTCGTTTCTTATGCGTCAGTACAACGATATCTCACAGAGATTTGGACGGCACGAGTTGACTGGTCTTTTGGTGAGTTCTCAGTTTCGATAGAGTAGCGCACAGTGGACAGTATTCCCTTCTACACTGCGAGAAGTAAGGCTGCGTTTATACTTTGCGGCAGCGTAGCGTAGCGCTTCCAGCGTACGCCAGCGGCAGTGCCGGGGAGAGGATGCATATCGATCTAGCGTTCCCAGCGTCACCAGCGTAACGCTAGCGTACGCCAGCGTTTCTCCAGCGTTTCACCAGCGTTTTGCTGGCGTTTGCAGCGGCAGGGGAGTAGAGACTATGTGGCCGTAAGAGACGCGCAATCGATGTGTATTGTAGAGACTATGTGGCCGTCAGAGACGCGGAATCGATGTGTATTGTAGAGACTATGTGGCCGTCAGAGACGCAGAATCGATGTGTATTGTAGAGACTATGTGGCCGTCAGAGACGCAGAATCGATGTGTATTGTAGAGACTATGTGGCCGTCAGAGACGCGGAATCGATGTGTATTGTAGAGACTATGTGGCCGTCAGAGACGCAGAATCGATGTGTATTGTAGAGACTATGTGGCCGTCAGAGACGCGGAATCGATGTGTATAGTAGAGACTATGTGGCCGTCAGAGACGCAGAATCGATGTGTATTGTAGAGACTATGTGGCCGTCAGAGACGCGGAATCGATGTGTATTGTAGAGACTATGTGGCCGTCAGAGACGCAGAATCGATGTGTATTGTAGAGACTATGTGGCCGTCAGAGACGCGGAATCGATGTGTATTGTAGAGACTATGTGGCCGTCAGAGACGCAGAATCGATGTGTATTGTAGAGACTATGTGGCCGTCAGAGACGCGGTATCGATGTGTATTGTAGAGACTATGTGGCCGTCAGAGACGCAGTATCGATGTCCACTGTAGAGACTATGTAGCCGTCAGAGACGCGGTATCGATGTGTATTGTAGAGACTATGTGGCCGTCAGAGACGCAGAATCGATGTCCACTGTAAAGATTATGTGGCCGTCAGAGACGCAGAATCGATGTGTTTTGTACCCTCCAGCTCTCC